ATAAATGTAAGTATTACTTACATAAATGTAAGTATTTACTTACCAAGTAAAAGTTATGTGATAATATGTTCAACACGTTAAAAATTTAATCGGCTTTCATGATATTATGTATATTCATTTCAATTGTTTAAAACATCTCTGTATAGTGTATACTATATAGCCCGGCAAACGTTGTTTTGCCATATTAATTATAGCATCTGCTCGTAACTTCGTTTGCGTAGAATTTGAATCATCATGTATCATTAAATCATATTGAAAATGATTAAATTATATTGAAAATAAGTAAACATTAAATTTATTGGGTTATAGGTTCTCTGTAAACGATGTTTGATTTTGTTTTAATTTGCAAAATAAATTGCTTATCAGCAGCTCCAACTCGTGATTGGCCAACATACAGTTGGCCATGAGTAAAACATTCCTTTTATTGGTCGATCCCTACTAATTCGAAAGTTTGACTTTGAGACTTGTTAATAGTCAACACGAAAGATATTTTCACTGGAAGTTGAAGCCATTTAACGGAATTGGCAGATCAGTGGGATCATCAGTATCCTCGGAATATGAGCTAGCTGACCAACTGCTGGGCTGGTAATAATGGTCACTACAATTAATTGTTCATTAATTCTTTAATAAGCAGTCTAGTTCCATTGCACATATTCGGAGGGCTTAAATTTCTCAAATGCATGATTGGAATTCCGATTTTTAATGTCAATTTGTGTGGTGACAGTCCAGAAGGATTCAGATAATTTAAAAATTCCCGTGCACTGCGTCTTTGATGTTCGTGACAGTGTCCATCAATTTGTAGTTTTTTATTTGGCCAGAAACTTTTTGTAAAATCAGATTGTTTGTTTCGTTAACAGTATCATTCCTAGGTGACACTATTGCCCTGGAACACAGCCAATGAAATTCCTTTTCGTGCAAATTCTTCGAAGGGTAAACTGAATTTATTAAATTATTTAAATTATGGAATATTTGAACTAGTGACTCATCCAAAAGAATGCCACAATTTTTGCTTAAATTTGGAGTGGGAAAAATTCCTTCCCCAATTTTTAGCAATTTTTATGGAAAATCACTATCTGTGATTCCATGAATATGTTCTCTCATATTTGTTCGTAATTTTAAGTTTTCAATTTTATTGATGTCCATAAAGGGGACGATTTCAAGCAAGCTTTGATGATATCTGCTCGCGTACCTCTGTTTAATGACGGGAAGTATCTGTCGGAAATATCCAGCAAATACAAAAGTAATCCCACCCATGAGAGCAGAGGAATTTCTAAGATCTTTTAAGATTCTGTCCACGGCCTCCATATGTGCTCTATAGCTTATGGTACATTCTTCCCACATAATCAATGAGACGTCTTGTAATAATTTACCAAGAGGTCTATTTTTTGCGGATTAGAACATTTAGATTGTTGCTCAAGATTTACAGATAATGGAAGTTTAAAAGTAGAATGAGCAGTTTTTTCATCCTTTAGGAGTGTTGCAGCAATTCCTAACGAAGTAACTGCTATTGCTATCTTCTCTAATTGTCTTATCTTCACAAGTATCAAATTTGCAAGGAGCGTCTTTCCAGTGCCATCTGGGGCATCCAAAAAGAAAATTTTTCCCTTGTTAGTATTCACGTTATCGACTATAGTCTCAAGAGCATGTTTTTGATCTGGCACTAATTTTGTCAGGTTTTCATTGACAAAAGAGGTCAAATCATTTGTATTATAGTGATGTATATATGTTGCAATGTTTTATGTACGAACTAGGGAAGGTAATCCAAAATGACTTAGGCTTTTATCATTTAATTGCAATAATTTGCATTAATTTAATTTTATTGCAATAATGTTTGACCACAACGATAACTGATTTGCGCCTGAAATGAAATAAATCTGTGCATCCTAAACAACGTGAATGCTTTTTTTTTGTGTTTATTGCTGGTGAATATTCCCGGACCAACATCTTTCGTATATTTGAGAAACAGTGAACGATCAAGTGTTCAATACATATCAAGATGCATGTTGTGAGTTGCAATTACTGGAAGCAGATAATCATTGGGACTTGGCACTTGCTGATGCAGCGTTGACATCCACACCGAATAATATTCGTCAACTATTTGCAATCATTTTGACAACATGTTTTCCAACACAATCATCGACTCTGTGGGAAAAATATAAGAATTATATGACTGAATATATACTGCATCGAATTAGACAAACAAAGCAGTGTCCAAATTTAGATTTAACACCAGAGATTTATAATGAAGCATTAGCGTTGATCGAATATTTATGTATTTTAATTACAAATTTGCCACTTAGTCATTATAGAATACCATCACCTGATCGCCCGGCTGCCAACTTAGTTAACACTGATTTACAACGAGAAAAACAGTACAATGACGATGATTTAGCTACAATTATTATGAATAATGAGCTATTACTGACAGACGAACAAAAAAATATTTATAATCGGATAATGCTGACCGTTGATGCTGACCAAAGTGGATATTTTTTCTTAGACGCACCAGGTGGAACAGCTAACACATTCTTAATATAATTAATTCTTGCAAAGACACGTTCCCAACAGAAAATTGCTTTGGAAATTGCATCGTYAGGCATTGCTGCAACTTTGTTAGATGGTGGACGAACAGCACATTCAGCATTGAAGTTGCCATTAGACATTCATAACAAACCAAACGCAATGTATAACATTAAAAAAAAGCGGAATGGCTACAGTGTTGCAAAAGAGTGCAATAATAATTTGGGATGAGTGTACTATGACTCATAAACATTCACTTGAAGCATTTCACAGAACAACTACCTATGCAAGATTTGAAAGGCAACAATAAACTTTTCGCTGGTACTGTTTTACTACTGTCCGTTGATTTCCGGCAGACTTTACTAGTTATTCCTCACTCTACTTTTGCCGATGAGATCAACGCATGTTTAAAACAATCGTTTTTAATGGACAAGTGTTAAGACACTTCGACTGACTATGAATATGCGAGTACAATTGCAAAATGATCCATCGGCACAAGTATTTTCTAAACAATTGCTGGATATTGGAAAATGGTGAAGTAGAGTTGCATCAAAATACACAATACATAAAATTACCAGATATTTTCTGCACTGTTGTTGAAACGAGAAATGAACTAATTGAGAGTGTCTTTCCGGATATATTGAATTATTATTTAGATCACAATTGGCTCTGTAATTGTGCTATTTTGGCAGCAAGAAACGTTGATGTGGACGAAATTCACTTCCATAAACAACAGATTTTGTGCGATGAGCGATGACCATAAATGCCAAACAATGTCTATTTGTGGTTTGGATTTGGAAAACACATGTTTCTCACATGGACAGCTATATTTTGCTTGCTCACGGGTAGGAAAATCATCAAATCTCTTCATGTTAGCGAAAGACAGGTTAACAGGAATGTTGTACACAAAGTAGTACTTAGATAATTTTAATTTTTAATAATTTTTAGTTTTAATAATTTAAAATTTAAAAAAATATAGTTCGACGTCAATGTTATCTACCTCATTTAAAATAGTTTATTTTTATATGTTTTTAATGTATGTAGTATATTTTGTAAGTAAGTCACTGATTATAAACAAGAAATTAATATAAGACGAATAAAATGTAAATTCAGAAAGTATATAATATGTTGGTTCAATTTCAACATTTCGATACTTTACCTATTACTTTTGCATTTTGGTGAAACGTTTTATTTTCAATCTCATATGAATGAATCTATTTTAAATTTTTTTAGAAAATATTAATTTCATTGTACCAAAGAATTAGTAAAAAATTGATTCAATGTATAATAATTACTGAGCCATAGCAACGCGTGGACGAGTCAGCTATATATATATATATATATATATATATTATTAGTATCGGCGCACCCATGGAAACATCGTGCGGGTACGGCGTTATAATACATACCATCCCCTATTTCAGCCCATTACAGCCCCTTACAGCCCTTTTTAGTATGTTTTTTCTCAGTGTCTAAACTATCAATATGTACCAAATTTCATTTAAATCGGTTCAGTAGTTTCATACAATATTCATTACAAACAATCTAATATTTCTTCTTTATAATATTAGGTACCCATGAAATTATGAATTTTTTTTTATGATTAGTTATCATTTTATTAGGTTTAGGTCTCTAATTTTCGTTATACATTTAAAGTTGAACGATGATATTAATAAGGTTTGTTATTTGTATAAAATATACATGTAGTATTGTCAGTGTTGAATATTTGCAATTGTTTTTTTTCTAATAGAAACTACCACTACACAATCATAATAATAATAGGTAATAACTAATAAGTAGCGACTAGTATTATTTTTTTTACACATAATTTATACTATATTTAGTCCACATTTAAATACTTTATAGAAAAGTATAAAAAATATGATGAGTTATACAAAAATTATTTATTTATTTCGTTTTTATTTTTTGGGTATATTATACTTACATTATACATTATACTTTATTTTACCTATTTAGTTGTTAAGATCAAATTCTATTGCCACCAATCAAATAATTGATAATATTTACTTGTATTTATAAATTACAATACTTTTCTTGTTCTTTACTTTATAATCATCATATTAATATGACATTAAACAAATATTCCACTTTTTAGTTTGTTTAATAGATAAGAAAAGAATCACAAAATAAACAAATATACCTTAGGCTACAACAAATTCCAACTATGACTAACAAGTCTATTTAAATATTTCTGAAAGTTTTTTCAACGGTTTTAATAAAAACGTAGTACATGAACATGATGCAAAATTATTATTTAGTACTACCCAATTTTTAATGCTGGGTAGTTAATAAGGGGAGAAGCTTCAATTAATAAAAAAAATATTTAACTAGTCTATTAGTACAGTAATTTATTTATATTTTTCATATTTATCGAAGAGTTACTGCTAATAACCAATATCATACCAAGAACTCCATGTAACTCATCAATTGTTTAAACCAACATGTATGAAGAGAGAAAATAAATAACAATACAATATTATATATTACGAACAGGTTATTAGTTACATCACACTATTTGATTGTAAGAAATTTAGTTGGAAATGATTAACATAGATTTAATTATTTTAATTAGGTAGTTGGCTTAAACTTAAGTATAAGTAGCATACCTAGATATACAATATGCTGTACTTAATCGCACTTATAGACAATGATTTAGATAATGTCTAATAAGTAATAATAACACAGAAATGTGTATAGTATAATTATGATTTATGACATAAAATGATTCTTTTTGAAAAAATGATTCAGTTTGCATCTCCTTAGGACTCTGCCCAAATTTGATCCACCACAAATGACGATAATTATGATTGTTTAAAATGTTCATAAACGCCTCCAGCCACTTGAATACCAAAATTAGTAATATTTTTCACATTTATTGTTGGTCCATCCGTTATTATTTTACCTCTATAATATGGGTTAAATTGTGAAATCGGAAGTTTTACTATGGTTTCCGAATCGGTGTTAACCTTTTAAAATCATTGCAAAGAAGATAATATTAAAAATAGTTGTACAATAAATTTATTTATTTATATAATTTATTTTAGGTACCTTAAACTTTTGCTCGAAAGTTGGATTTGGCTCATCATTTAAATTATTGTGCCTTAAAATAATTTTATATATAGTAGCATTTCCTGAGGTTTTGCACACAAATGATATATATTCATATCCATCAAGGTTTAATTGTGTCGATGTACGAASGCCACTGAAACATGCACCGTTTGGTAATGGATTCAGCAATGTGAATAAGATTGCAGACTGTTTCGTTTGAGTTTTATATAAATCAAATGTTGCTTTTGACCTTCCTGCTGATCTCACAGTGTCAGATTGTTCTGTCCAGTTATTTAAATCGGTCGCGTTTTGAAAATCAAATAACAACAAACTTGATCTAAATATTTAAAAAAAAAAAAAAAACAGTTAAATGAAAATATTGAGTACTTATAGTTATTAAATGATTAATTTTTGTACAATATTTAATAGCTGAAATGACTATAATGACTAATCGAGTAAGTAATTTATAGAGTATTCATAAACATTTATACATTTTAAACACCTCAAAAATATATTATGTATATTATGCACTATTATGTTGTTATACTTATTTTGTCAAAAGCTATACTCTGTTCAATGTTCAGCGAGAGAACGCACAGCGGTCAGCAACCTAACCAAAATTGGTTCTTCTGCGCATCCCCACCTGATACCCTGCCATAGGTTAATTGGATTTGGTATAAGCCTATAACAGAGTAAAACAGAAGGATACGCAGAGTTCAGACTCCGTGTTTCTCTCGATAAACAGAGTGTGATAAACATTTTTTTTACTTATAATTACAAAATTAAATTAAAAAAAATATATATGTTGATTATTATATAATTTGTTGAAGTTGTTTCCTTTTTTGAATAAGCAGAATATTTTTCATGGAATTTCAGTGTATTAGAATCTAATTTTATAAGTAAAATTCATTAGATGTTAGTTTAGACGAGTCACGAGTCATTGTCTATCAAAACTCAAGTACTTATGTAGTTCTATAAAATATAATAGTACCTATACTGGCTATACTTATTAGTTATTACCTACTAAAATAGTTTCGAATACTTACCAATAATATTTTTTAAATAAAACAAAATTACTAAAATCGTTATTCTTGATTATGTAATTTTGTCCAAATTTTAAGTTGAAACAACTATAAAACAAACATTATAATATATTCTTTATGTTTATTTTGGTTAAAGAATTAACTACTTATGTGGAACCTCGTTTTATATTTTCAATCCCTAGATATAAAAATTGAACATTTTATAAATTTTTAATCATACAAATTTTATCGAAATTGAACATAAATACATATATACTATATGCTTATAAAAAAAAGAGTGTTTTATTGAATTTTTAAGCTTTTTGACGTAACAATTACAATTTTAATGAATTTTATAGAAAAAAAAAATGTTAAAGTTTCTATAAACACCACAAAACGAGACAAAATATTTTTATATTATGGTATATACAAAATTTTAACATAAACATTCAGTGAAAATTTCATGTAACTACTGTAAATCTTTTTAAACAAAAACTAAAATCGATTTTCTCAAAAACCCGATTTTAGGTAAAAATTCTTTTTTGTATCTTATTATTTTTATTTTTGTTTTTCTCGGTATTTTTAAAAATTAACTATGAATTTTGACCTTCCAAATGTACCAACTAGATTTACTTTTCTACCGGTAAAGGTAAAGATACTAAAATTGAAAATCGAAAACCGAAGCATTATTTCGACTACTATTATTTTATAATRGTGTACACTGTACGCATATAAAAGATCTAAAGTAAATTTCTAAAATCAATATTGAATATATTCATCCCTCTGCTCAAAATCTAAAATTATTATTACTTATTTAAAGTAAAATATATTAATATCATAATGATCTAAATGATATATATAATAATCGAACCTGGAAAAATGTCGTTTAAAATTGTTTAGAGTTATTAAAATGTTATTTAATATAGGTACAGTGGTCTACTTGAGAATAAAGTGTAGTAGAGTTACTCTAGCTACTTTTAAAAAAGTGACGTCCCTAGCATTTTAATCAAACTCCCATAACTTCGGGGAATCGTAAGTTCCTACACGAGAGTAACAGGTAGACAATTACTCGTACATACGTTAATTCCTATACATATGTGATGTGTAAGTTCCTACACGAAAAAAAAGGTACGTATGTTAGTTCCTACACGACGAAAAACAGGTACATGTGTAAGTTCCTACACGGTAAAAAAAGGTAMACGTGTAAGTTCCTACACTAGGAATATTATAAGTTATCAATCTAATAACAGTTATATCATATTATAATACTGTCATACGTATTAACTCTTTACAATTACAATTATTATTTTTAAAATTATTAAATATTATATAGAATGGATTATTTTTATTTTTATTTTTTTCAATAAATGACGAATTATTATTATATTATTACAATTATTATTTTTTAAATTATTAAATTGATAATATTTATAAGGTAAATTATTAAATATTATAAAGAATTATACATATATTATATAGAATAAAGGGTTAAAATGTATGACAGTATTATAATATGATATATCATTATAACTAATATCATATTGATAACTTATAATATACTTGGTGTAGGAACTTACACATGTACCTATTTTTTACTGTGTAGGAACTTACACATGTACCTGCTTTTTACTGTGTAGGAACTTACACTTGTACCTGGTTATTACTGTGTAGGAACTTACATAATATGTACCTTATTTTATCGTGTAGGAACTAACATATTATGCATCTTGTTTACCTGCTAGGTCTCGTGTAGGAACTTACATTCGCCCATAACTTCAAGGGAGGGGAGTCCTTTAAGAAGCATAATAAAAAATGAAGAAACATGTATCAGTGAATTATAACATTTATAATGATATCATAATTTATTAGGTTTCATTTTAAGGTACTATTATTACAAAAAATATACAAAACAATGAAAAACTTTTATATGTAGTATATAATATAATAATAATTACTATTTATATAATATTGTAGATCTTCATGACTTCATTTAAAAGATTMCATAGTTCAGAATAATAAATTATTAGTGAAAAGAAGTGTTGTGTAGTTATAGTGTAGTTAATTAGCCAACCCGTCCCATGCGTGCTCCTTTAAAAAAGAAGTAGGGGTACGCTTGAGTATCCTAAAAATTAGTTAAGGCACTCAGACCCCCTGCTATATTAAAACGTATAGGTACAGAACGTATATATACAATTTCTGTATATTTGTAATAATTTAAACTAATTGCTATAATTACTAACAAATAATGCCTCTTTTGATTTAATTTATGACCGATCGTCCCTAAATATTTAATGATAAAAAAAATAGGGTGCAGTGTAATTTTATTTTGCACTTATCAGAATTTTAGAATCATGGAAAATATAGTATAATATATAATATATATACTTGACATTACGATTACAGCTGTAGAAATAATATTTTTTTAAATTTTTTTTTATATATTTAAGTAATTTACAATCTATACAACATTATGTACAATGGGCAAATTTGATAATTAATATAATATGAAATAACAGAAATTAGCATTTAGGGGCAGGCACTTAGCAGCACCACCCGAAGAAATAATATAAAGGTAAAAATATTGGCGTAAAAAATCACGTTTTTATTCCTTTTTGTAAAGATGTAAATTCAAACTATTGCGTTATAATATTCTAATATTCAGGGTATGGTTCTTTGATTACATAACACTATTGTAATTTTTTGTTAATAATTATTGAGTTTAATCAATATGGTTTAATTATTTTCGCATATTAGTGCGCATGTCATAATAATATAGCGCACGTTTTAACCACCACTTGCAACCACTGTGAAGTAGTTTTTCAATAAAATTGTATTTATTATTTACTGATGTATACTCACAGCTTGGGTTTTTGGGTCATAATTGCCGAATTAGAGACTTGTACTGCACCAATCGTAAACAAAACGAACACTTTCAATTTTATAGTCATACTACATATATCATATAGTCAACAGATTGAATTCTTATTGTGAATTGAAAATATTTAAAAGTAATCCTGAAACCAAATTAACAATAATTAAAAATTGTACAAATGCACCTGATTGAGGAGATCATATTTATTTAATTTATAATATATAAATTGACGAACTAAATATGACTACTACTTAAAGATAAATAATCATATAATCATATAGGTAACATGATTGTACATTGTTAGCATAACACTATACCCAGTATACCCATATTATTTTACATTTATTTATTTATTTGATAATAGTAACTGGCAAGCCAAAAAATAGCAAGAAATGTACATCTATATTATATGAAATAACTTATCCTGGATAATTCATCATGGCCTAGCCAGAGCCGCTAAAGCTATTATGAGTAGCTTAGACAGTAGTTTTGTACTAAAATTTATTATTGAAAAATAAGACATCAGCAATTTGTTATTAGGTACCAATCTTAAAAGTTGTTCACCTTTACAAAGATAAAAATGCGATAAAATATTATGATTGAGTATACTTTTAATCCTGTATTTTAAATGACTGTGTTAAAAATCTTTAATGGAGATTAAGATAGGGTTAATCCACGGGAAATTGTCACGGGAAGTTTTTTTCATGACTAGCTGGGTATAAACGACGAATCAAACAAAAATTTTGATTCATATAGAATCGGTATTTTTAACGGGCAACGAAGTGCACGGAAATCAGCTAGTATATAATATATATGTATATATATATAATATATAGGTATCATAATAATAAATAAATATATAAACACATTTACACAAGGTAGAAATAAGGCTATAATCATTTTCCTCCAAAAACGAGACACCGTTTTCCTCTACTGACTACTTTCCTCCATTAAATAATAAATAAAATAATAAAATAGTTAATATAAATAATTTATGCATAACAAAAAAATTAAAAATTAATTGATTATAATATTATATTTTCTTATAACTATAGGTTATTTTGGCAACAAATGAATACCTGGTTAAAGAAAAGAAAAATTAGACATAATATGAACTTTTTGTAAATTCGGACTTGCGTTTTTCTATAGTTAATATAGTCGATATGTCTCATCTGTTTATTGAAATCGTTCATAATGTTTTAAGAACAATTTTTTGATTTTTTTGTGAAGTGGATAAAATTAATTAATGTAATTTATTATATTTTTAAATTMATATTATAATATGTATAATTACATAATTATTTAGTTGTTATATTAGTTATTTTTTTTATATAGTTTATTTATTTAATATTAAAATAATTTTATTTTTATTAAATATATATAAATATTTATTGTGATAACCTTATATATTTCAATTTCATACACTTTATATTATTCACTAAATGTTAAGAGGTCTAACAAAGATAATTATTGCAAAATTTTTTTTAAAATAAATCGGCAAAATATGCAATGGAAAAATATCTAGGATTGTTATTTTYATAAAATTGTATGTMAAGAAAATTATATAGGTATTAAAACCTAAAGGAATGATATTTTCAAGGATTGTTATATTCTCGGCATGATATTTTTCTAAACAGAATTAATTAAGGGAAATATAAAACAGTAAAATAATAACGTGGAACCATATTTTTCAGTAACGGTATAAATAAGGAAAATATCACTCAGGACATATAAATCGGGACAACATTTTTAAGTATATATCATCGTAATGTGGATCCATATTAATATAAAATCGTATTAATCGAAAAAATAAAGCACTACAGTATTGGATGGAGCAGGGGCAGTGTTATTTACAGGAAAATATTCACGAGGTAAAGTATTAAAAAGAAATATTATTTTATAATATTTTATAAAATTCTAAGAAAAATAATACTTTACCTCGTGAATATTTTCTTATTATTAAAGTATTATACCATTCTATTGAAATATCTTTCCCTACRRGAAACCTAGTCTGAATAATATTAATTTCCTGAAAAGTACGATTCCATGTGAATACTTTCTTCATTTATATGTGCTCCATCGAAGGCCCGTTTTACATTATTTGTTCTTACTTAGTCTTATGACRCGTAAAATTGCATTAGTTCGTAATTTCTCTATGATTCCCACGACTTCTCAATTGGCGGAGATTATTTATTGCTAATAGCGACCTATAGTAGGGTACTTTGACGAGGTACACTCGATACCTATTGCCTTTAATGACTTGCCATAAATAAGATCGTATGCAAATATATTATATAATAATTAATATTAATTATTGTATGTTATTCGTCAATATCAATCATTTCTTGCGTCGGAGCCCGAGGCGTTTATTTCTTCTAGGTACTCAATAAACCTGCAGCTGWAGAGTACTTGGAGCGTTTTGAATTGAAAGTCATTGGGCTAATGTTGATAGTGAGGGGACGTGTGGTGAATACGTACATAGGTAACCCAAATTCAGCTGTCTGAAACACGTGCTCGATAACACACGATTCCCAACTTATATCCCAGGCACGTGCAAGTACGCGTGATGCACGATAGACGTAACACTTGCGACCTGTCCCGTCAATGCCCCTACACTCTCTATATCTGTAGACACCAACCGTTCAACTCGAGCTGCAACTTTGTAGTTTAATCTACGTCCTTGATTTTCAATTTTTTTCAAACAAATTTGACCATCAATTTTTATGTTTCGTCAGATACTTTACCTTAATATTTTGTTTAATAGCTATTTAAGACTTACTATATAAATTTTAATATAAAAAACACGTGCAAATTGTTGAAATTTGTATTTCAAAAATAAGATAGCACTGCTGCTATGTTGTAGTTCAAATGAAATGGGCAATTTCTRAAAATCTAAGTTTCCTCATTTGTAGTGGGCGGGAGGGGRGAGGAAGTAAGGTTCCTTACCATTAGTGTAACTCAATATTAATTTCGAAAAATGAAGTCAAGTGAACACTGAACATAATTTTAAAAATTTCTCAACTATTTATACTAAAAATGAAAATAAATAAGTAGTGGTGAAGTAAACAATAATGCACAGCATCAATGGCTTAAACGTGATCAGTGATAATCATCTACCTCCCTTTCTTTAAAAGATACATGGGCGTCTCCAGACATTTTTCTAGGGAGGGTCAAAATTAATTTTAAAAATAAATGAAAATTGTTTTATACATTTTAATAAGTTATCTATTACCAAATTGCACATTAAAGATAATGCTCTGGAAAACAAATTTTTTAACTCTAGGGAGGGAGAATGTACCCTGTCTTGGTACCTCTTGGAGACGTCCATGAAAAGATAACTTGCTTCGACAAAGATACCATCACCAGGATGTTCACGTTGACCTTGAAAAAAATATTACGGTATCTTTAAAAATTATGGCAAATGTCAGGTGACTGAATTAATGCAACGAATAGTCAACTCTTGGTGAATAACGACCCACCAAAGGAGAAAAAACCGTGCATATAATAGAGAAAAATGGAAGAATTTGGTATTGACAGCAAAGAGCCTAAAGGCCTGTAATGCTTGAAAAGAATGTAGGTATCTAAGATTTTTGTATTGTTATTAGCAACTAGCAACTTATGTGGTACGTCTCATTAAATTTTCAGGTTTTTTTTACCAAGCAAAATAGTTTCTATCAATAACAACTTTAAAAAAATTCTCAGGAATTTAAATTATTGTTCAAAAATATTATCATATAAATATATTATAATATATGGAAACTGCTATTATAAATATTTACTAAAAATTTCAAGTGTCTACTGTTTTTAATTTTTTTCACACCAATAAAATAAAATTTATATCTTTTGGTTTTTCTGCGACGCTTTCAAAAATTTCTTGAAATTATCAATTTTTATCTCCCATATATGGATCAACCTTTTCACTATTCTACCAGAGAAGATGCTGGATTACAGAGAAATGCTTGAAAATTTACAGCATTTTGAGCATTTTATACTTCCTCAAATTTTGGCGACGAACAGAAAAAAAACACACACACATCTTTGTAAATACAATACAATCAAACAAATTTTTACACTCGAGTATAAAAAAAACTAGGGAAGATTAACTACCTAGCTATTATAATATTTATATCGAATTTTGCTCGCTATCATCATAATATAATATTATAAATTTACATCAATTAATACTTTACAATATTATTATATCTATATAAATATAATTATTCATTGATACTTTAATAGGTGTAGTAGGTGTAAATCAAAATTGTATAGGTAGGTATTATAAAAGTAAGAAAAATCTTAAATAGTAAAAATATATAGACATTATGGCTTCATTTGGCTTCACCATGAATACGATGCTACTATAATGAAGAATCAGGATTAATTTTGTTTTTACATTAACATTGTTTTATTTATATTTGCTGTTCAAACTTATATTATTGTTTTTCTGTTATTGATTTTTTATTGTATATTTGAGTAGATATTTAAGGAGAAAATGATAAATGTAAATGTGTTGTATATAAGATAACTCCTAGGCCTCCACATGAGTTTAAACTCAGTGAGGCCTAGTAATCTTTACCGATATTAAATAAAATAAAAATAAAAATAAATAAATAAAAATTATAACTTCTAAATTATGTTTCGAAATAAATTTTTATTTTAGAAAATGTTTAATTGTAGTATTTTAATTTTAATTTTTAAGAAATAAAAATAAAATATAATACTTATTATGTATTATAATGATTATTTTTTGCGTAATAATTACGGTATAAATACGATATACAATATAATGATGATGGTCCTGCTTTCTCAGGAGCTAGAGTACTTGGAAGTTTCATTTGGCTCTAAATATATCTTATTTATAATATAATCATTGATTGCTGATATAGATTTTGTATAGCTTGTGCTTATTATAGAGATTCGATTTTTGATTTATTCTTTAGTAAGTTTTTGAATAGAATTGCAATTAAAACTGTTACCTATAATGACTCCGCAAGTCCACCCAATAAATTCCGGATATTTATGTATTATATTGATTTAGAAATTGAACTACTGCAATAGAATTATTTCTAGTAGTGCTCTAATCCTAGTCAAAAATAAATAAATTTATTGTATGTATCAAGTATTATTTTATTTTTTATAAAT